TAGTTTTAATGGGGGTCCTCAATACCCCACTGTCACAAATACACAGATCAACGAGGCAAAAAAATCAACGAGGGCCAGGAATTTAGCTCAGTGGCACCACACCTGCCTCGTATGTGCAAGGTCCTGAGTTCAATCCCCAGCTCTGGGGGAAAAAAATCAACAATGAAATATTAGAACTAAACCAAAGTTATAAACAATGGATTTAATGCATGTCTTCAGAGTGTTCCACCCCGTACCACAATACACATGGGAGTCTCCAAAACAGACCACACACTAGCTCACAGAACATGCTTAAGTAAATGCAACGTAAAAGACCTCTACTTTGAAAACCACAGTTCTCTGAAAAAGGAGATCAAAGAGGATATCAGGAATAGGGATTTAGCTCAGGGGTGCTGGGGTTGCCTCGCAAGCGCAAGGTCCTGAGTTTGATCCTAGTACCCGCCCAAAAATAACAAAGATAATATCAGAAAAGGAAAGATATCCATTGTTCTTGGGCAGACAATCCAATACAGTGAAATCAGCCATACTGCCAACAATGTTATACAGATTTAATACAAATTCAATCAAAATTCAATACCATATCTCACAGAATTAGAGAAAACAATCCTAAAATTTACTTGGAACCAGAAGAGACCTAGAATAGCAAAGGCAATTCTGGACAACAAAGGCAAGGCAGGGGACACCACAATTCCTGACTTGAAATCATACTACGAAGCCCCTGTGATTTAAAAAACAAAACAAAACAAAACAAAACAGCATGCTACTGGCAAAAGAACAAACCTGAGAATCAATGAAACAGATTAGAAGAAACAACTCCAGACATACCCAGCCACCTTATCGTTGACAAATGGACCAAACACCTTCACTGTAAGAGAGACAGCCTCTTTAATAAATAGTGCTGGAAAAACTGGCTTTCCAGGGCCGGGGATTTATTAGGTCAGTGGTTCTGCCACCTGCCTCATATGCACAAGGTTCAAAGTTCAATCCTGGGTACGAAAAACAAAAACTGGCTTTAAAACTAAACCCATATCTTCAACTATGTACTCAACTGAAATCAAAATGGATCAAAGATCTAAATATTTCAACAGAAACAATCTACTGTAAGACAGAACAGGTAGAACTCTTGAAGACAATGGTATTAAGTGAAGACTTCACAAAAAAAAAACCCTGATCACACAGGAACTATCACAAAGAATCAACAACTGGTATCTCCATCTAAGAAGCTTTTGCACAGCAAAAGAAACCACCAACAAAGTAAAGAGAGAACCACTGTGTAGGAAAAAATATTTGCCAGCTGTTCCTCAGACAAAGATTTAGTATCTAGAATAGATAAAGAAAAAAATCAGGAACCCCCCCCCAACAAATTTAAAGACCCAATCCAAAAATGGGCATCTGAAATGAATAGACATTTCTCAGATTGAGGTAGAAACAGCAAATAAATATATGAAAAAAGTGTTCAACATCACTGGTCATTCAAGAGATGCAAATTTAAACAACACTGAGATTCCAATGCACTTCAGAAAGAATGGCAGTTATCAAGAAATCAACCAATAACATGCTGGTGGGGCTACAGGAAAAAAAGGAACCTTGCTACATTGTTGGTGAGAGTGTAGATTGGCACAACCACTGTGGAAATCAATGTGTAGATTCCTCAAAACACTAAAACTAGGGGCCAGGGATTTAGCTCAGTGGTTCTGCTGCCTGCCTCGAAAGCACAAGGTCCCAAGTTGGGTCCCTGGTACAAAAAAAAAAAAAACCCTAAAACTAAAACTAGAGGTTCCATTCAAACTAGCTCTTCTTCTTCTTGGTGTCTTCCTGAAAGAATTAAAAGCATCATACCAGGGGCCAGAGATTTAGCTCAGTGGTTCCGCCACCTGCTTTGCAAGCGTAAGGACCAGAGTTCGCTGCTTGGTACCAAAGAAACAACCAAAAAACCATCCTACAGGGCTGGGGATTTAGCTCAGTGGTTCCACCACCTGCCTCGGAAGCACAAGGACCTGAGTTCGATCCCCAGTGCAAAAAAAAAAGCATCATACCACAGTAATACATGCACACACATCTACAGTGGCACAATTTGTAATAGCTACATCTTAGAAACAGCCCAAATGCCCAGCAAGTGACAAATGGATAATGAAGATGTGGGTTCTGTTTAATACAATGATACTCTGCCATAAAGGAGGAAGAGCTTGAGACATTTTACAGCTAAATGAGTGCACCGTAAGACCATACTCAAGTGAAATAAATCAGACACACATTTAAATACTTCATTGTTGGGCCAGGGATTTAGAACAGTGGTTCAACCACCTGCCTTGCAAGTGCCAAAGACCCAAGTTTGATCCCCAGTACCAAAAAATAATACATACCTCACTGTTTCTCTGGTGTGAGAAACCAAAAGTGGCCAGGCATGGTGGCGCACGTCTGTAATCCCAGCACTCGGGAGGCTGAGACAGGAGGATCACTGTGAGTTCGAGACCAGCCTGGGCTACATAGTGAGTTCCAGGTCAGTCTCAACTACATAATGACTCCCTATCTCAAGAAACCAAAAAGAAACCAAAAATGGAAATAAGGTCTAAAATGTGTAACAGGGCTGGGGATTTAGCTCAGTAGTTCTGCCACCTGCCCTGCAAACACAAGGTCCCAAGTTTGATCCCCGGTACCAGAAGGAAAAAAAATTTAAAATGTATAAGACATATTGATTGGGAAATGGAAAATGTTCAAGTGGGAGGGGGAACAAGGAAGAGACAAGAAAAAAAGTGAAAATAGAAGAAAAATGGAAACACGGCTTTTGTATATAGGATATGAAGAGGGTCGAGGGGGGAATTCAGGAAAAAAAAGGGGGGACTGTATCGTGTACAGGTTCAAAGTCCCTATGAGTATTAATTACTATTATGTGTATCTAAGTACCAATAAATGTTTTGCTTTAAAAAAAAAAAACAAAAAACAAAATAACCAGTTAGTTTGTGAAATGCTGCAAAGACCTAAAGCCAAAAAAGCAAAATTAAAAAAAAAAAAAAGAAAAAGAAAGAGGACTTCCCAACTGCTCTACAATGTAATCAGAACAATGGCTAAGTGCTCAAAATAAGGGGGAGTGTTCTGGGGATTACTGGCAGTGTGTGTTTTACCGTAACAAAATTTTTTAGTTTAAATATTCACCATATATCTTGTTCGCCCCTTTTAAGGACATCTTATCTTCACTCAATGACAAATCATCTAGTGACAATTTCTCAGAGCTTATACTCATCATTAACCACCACATGGCTTATTAAAAAACTAAAATAATGAAAATCTTTTAGCCAATATACTTTAAAATTTAGACAAAATGGATAAACTGCCAAAACCTATAACTTACCAAAACTAATCGTAATAAAAAATACAAATTTTTAAATTTTAAATTTCAAGCATATGGTCCCCACACCTACAATCCCAGCTACTCGGGAGGCTGAGGGTAGAAGATTACAACTTCGAGGCCAGCATGGGCAATGGGCAACTCAGCTTAGAGACCCCATCTCCCTGTCTCAAAATTTAAAAGGGGCAAGAGATGCAGCGCTGGAGCATCTGCCCAGGAATCAAGAGGCTGGGGTGGTGGGGTGTTGAGAAAGAAAAAGAGAAAGGGAGAAAGGGAGGGAGAGGGTAAAGAGGGGAAGGGGGAGAAGGAAGAAGGGGGAGGAGGAGAGAGGG